GATAAACCTGGCAGAGAGCGGACGGAGTGGGGCAGACGCGGGGCCTGTGCACAGCGGCCCCCGCAGACTCCGCCAGTCGCCAGGTCGACGCGGTGTAGCAATGACACTCAGTGGAGCTGCTTTAACAAGAAGCCTCAGGCTCGGAGCTCGGCCAGGGCGCAAATGCAGCACCCAGGATGGGGCGGCCCCCTGCTGGGGACATGCACACCGTGGCCCCCGCTAAGGGGCCTCACCGAGGGGCAGGCAGGTGCGGGGTGCAGAGCTCCGACCTCCCCCAGCTCCTCTCCTGCCCCTGCTTCCGGCCCGGTCCCCACGCTCTCAGGTGGGGGACGGGGGAGGGACCCTCTTTCTGTCCAGGGCCGTTTGGATGTTTGTGACACGTGAGTCACTCGGGCGGGTTGACGCTGTGAGAAAAGCTCCAGGACCGAGTTCGACTCCCGCCTGGGGTTGCCTTGGCAGGGCCAGGCCGAGTGACTTCAAGGCCCTTGTCTGGCCCGCGGGCTGGACGTTCCCCCCCCAGCTCGAGGGGACAGCAGGCGGTGACCGCCCGGCCAGGGAGGCCCTCACTGTCACTGAGCGGCTCCTCACCCAGAGGGACACACGGCCGGGCCCCAGCAGGAGCCCCCCCAGCCCAGCACTCGCCACACGTCCCTGGGCCGCCCAAGGCTCTCTCTGGGTTCAGTTCTACGTCTGATTCCCACTCGACGTTTAACTGCCTTCCTGACGTTTCCCACAAGCTACAAAGGCGGTGCATTCTGAGTACGCGACTCGATGGTTTTCATTAAAGTCGCAGAGCGGGCGGCGGGCGGGGTACTGCTGCTAGAATGTCTCCGCCCCCAGAGCCCCTCCGCTGCGGCCGCGGTGCCCGGGCGCGTCCCTACAGATCTGCCTTTTCCAGATGTTCCCGAGAACGGGACCGGACAGAGCGTGTATTTTAAACAACCGTGATGTGGGAAGTCCCATCACTGGAGCCTGAGGCCCCCGCCCCGGCCCCAGCCCGGTCACCTCTCGGCCTCCTCCTCCGT